GCAGAAACAACTTAGTGGGGGGGGAAGAGGAGAGGCTGTGCTGCCAAGGAGGAGGAACAACAAGCTGCTAACTGGGGGTGAGGGGAGAACAGAGCAGATGCCGATATATTATCCTGGTCATTGGTCCTACAGGTATTGGGCTGGCAAAAACTGCAAGGGATGCACTTGGACATTTCCTGCCATTTTTAAATAAACCAAATTAGCATGTGTTACTTGTGAGTTTATGCTCAGTGCTTGTTTAGTTGGGTTTTTCTTTTCATATAGGATCATAGAATGGTTGGGGTTGGAAGGAACCTTAAAGATCATCTAGTTCCAACACGGACATGTTTGTTTGTGCTATTTTGTTTTCTTTATTAAGAAAGAAATCACTCAGAAGCTTGACTAGGCTTGCTCACATGTAGTTAAATTTAGCTGTAATCTGCCTGGTCAGTTGTAGGAGAAAAATAGCACTAGTTTGAACTGGATTGAGTAGCAACGAGACTTTAATTTGGGGCAGCAGAGAGAAAATTGTATAACACTGTTGTGCTGTCCTGAGTGGGAGAACAATCCAGTGAATTGCATGATTTTTCCGTCTTTGTAATCAGTTTGTTATGCATAGAGCAGTGCCGTGGGATTCAGCATTTTATCTGCTGGGCTTTCCCTGGCAGCATCTGAAGACGTTCATTATAAGTGTTTGTCACATGATCCACTTAATCAAACCACTGAAACTTGGAGAATAAGTCATTTTTACAAGACCCTTCAGAGCTGCCTTATAAGCTACTTACTGATATACTCTTCCTTGGTGAGTGTACAATGAGTTTCCTTGTATCCCGGTCTATGATACAGGAAGTTCATTATCCCCAGTCCAAATTCAGACATAAAGAAAGGAAGCAGGTCTTACAAAGAAGTGACAGATAATTTGCAAAGGATTTTAGTTAGCCACTCAAATCGCAGATAGAGTCAGACTGTAAGCTCTTCATAAGAACAGCCTTCTGGTATTCAGCATTAGGTGTGAGGCAGCTATCTACATAGCTGTTTCTAATGTTGTAAAACACAGACAACACATGAAAAAATATTTTCTTCTTTTGATTACAGGTCTCCTAGTGGAAGCATGTGAGAAAAAAGAGAAATCAGAACTGAAACCATGTTTTTGGGGGGGTAATAGCACTGCATGATAGTCAGAGCTGATAACTGAGCTGATGCAAAATGCCTTGAAAGCCTGCTAAATCCAGCTTGCACTAAGGTTTTGAGACACTGAGACTTGTCTGACAAGCTCAGAGCTTGCAGACATGCTGTTTGCAATGTGTTTGTACACTGTACGTTTGGTAGGATAAAGTGCATTTCCCTGTTATGTACCTAAGAAATGTTCTGGCTGTTGGGAGCAGGTAGGTTGGGGCATTAATTTTACTGAGCTCTGTCACATGCAATGTGACACCAGATTTTCTGGCACTCACTGTATTTTTTCACCAATGCTGTTACACAGGTAGTGTCTCATAAAGGCTTTTCTTCTTGCTACCTGCTGAAGACAAGTTTGGATATCACCAGAGATGTAGGCTTTGGGCCAGTCTTAGTGTAGAAATGCCCTGGATAATTTTCCAAAGCACCACCCTACCATTGTCTCCATATGATAGCGCTGCTCAGCTACACCTCTTCTTTTACCTCCCAAACTCTTCACAAAATGTGAAGGCAGTACAGGCAGTACACAGACCCAGTATTGATTTTGTGTAGGGTTGCACAGGCTGAGTCTGATGTGGGCCTCCAGATTAACATTTTTTTTGATATTGAAAATTGCCCTTAGGGCAAAGAGCATTGGGCAGTTCAAAACAAGCTACTCTGTAAGACATCAAAACCAGGGAAGTGTGCAGAACTGAGAAATATGGGCAACAGAAAAACCCTATGCTTGTTTGATGGGGATAATGCATTTTGTCTAGTATAGCTCCAGTAAAGCAAGTCACAAAATTGACACTATTGTCTGGGCACTGCTTTGAGGGAACAGTGAAACCTGTCTCTCCACTGCTGATGTCCATGCAGCCCAGAGCTTTAAAATTCAACCTGTTAATTTCTCCTGGGAGTAATTAACTCCAGCCTGGAGTGAGCAAAGAGTCTTGACTGCATCAGTCAACAGATGTGAGGATTTGAGATGTGCTGTTTTCATTCACTGTGTTAGAGGAAACCTCTTTGTTTTCCATGTACTGTGTACGTGTCTGTCTTGTCTTGATACAGCTGTCAGTCTCTTGACTGCTGATATACTGATATATCAAATTGTCATTAGTATGGCTGTGTCCTCAGGAGGGACTGTGATGCTTTAGAAGGTTGGTTTCCAACTAGTAAGTTAAAAAGCCTGGAGGAAAATACTGTTTTTCTATCTTTTCGCTCTTCATTTTAAAAATAGTAAATGCTAAATTATTTTACCTCTTTTAAAATAAAGCATGGCACCAAAAGAGATGAATCTATGCTAGCTTACTAGTTTTGCTACTTCAGTCAGTTTTATTACAGTATGATTCCTTTCTTCTTTTCTCACTTCTTTATTATACTCTGTCTTCTGAGTTGCTGTTGTGCCTATTTAAAGAGCCCCCCTTCATCTTTCTTTTGGGACAGTCTTACTGCTGGCTTTTTGCTGTTTCAGCCTCTACACAGCTGGTGCTTCAAGAAAAAACTGTATCTTGTAAGGCTGGGAGAAGAATGGACTCATAAAAATAAATATTTTTTTGTATGTGTGTAGTTCTTTAATCAGTAAGTCTTCAACAACCTTACCTAAAGCAGCCATTTGCTATGTTTCAGCTTCTTAGGTGAGGAGACCGGAGCAGAGTGAGTGGGTAACTTTCTGCTGTCTGCAGTAATGCAGTAGTAAGGTGGAGAATAAAACTTCTGTTTTCCAAATGTTCCATGGCTCTGTGCATGGGGAAGGCCAGTACTGAGCATCTGGAATCATTGCTAGTAGGGATATTTTTAGTCTGCTGTAAAGAGAAATGGTCAGTTGTCCAGTGCGTGCTGTTTGTTTGGCATTCAGGAACCATTAGTGCCTGTATTATGCTGAGGCTGGATCTCAGTGCCTCTGTACAGCCTGGTAGGAGGGAAGATCTGGGAGAAAGACTCTGGCAGGTGCATCTGGCTGTGTGCATTTGCACATGTGTGGGGTGCACACAACACCCACTGAGAATGGATACTACCAGATACTAACCAGACTGGGTTTGGCCAATGCCAAGCCGGGCTAAATTCTCTCTCCCAGCTTAAAGATGAAAGATTCTTTAATGCACTCACCGCTCCTGGGCCATTCCACTCAATCCCCAGTAATGTTATCTGTTTAGAAGTCTTTCTCACTGAATTTCTTCTTTTGAAGACTGCAGGGTTTTTAAGAGTGGACTGCAGCACCTGCTCCTTGCTGGAAGTCCTGAGGCTGGCACTTGCAGTGCCTAACATGCCAGTCACAAAGCATCACATTTACCAGACTTTCACTGGGTGTAGCTAATGAAAAACAGAACAGACATGTTGTAAGGACTGTCAACCTAAGTAAAGGAAGGTAGCTTTGAATAAAGCCTCCAAGACAGTATTTCCAGAATATACTTCTTTAGAAAAAAAAGTGGAAAATCCAAAGAATGAAATTCAGCCAGAATGAGCTCACTGCAGGTGGTGCTGGTTGTGATTTTTTTTTAATCAATTTTATTTATTTTAGTAGTTGGTTTTTTGTCTAGTGTCTGCCGTTACAGTACCTTTTTCTGCAGCCCCAGAAAACCCACACTTTTGTGGTGCTCTGGAGCTTTCCCACAGCATATATTTCCCCATTCTTAGAAGGCTGGTACGAGTCAAACAGAGAGGACTTCACCTGCCCAACCAGCAACTAGGTACGGGGAAGTTGCCTACACCCTGGCAGATGCCTCTTCCTCAACAGTCAGCCCTGCAGGGATTTACATCCACTGGCTTCATCCATGTATCACCTGAGATTCTCTGGATCTGTCCATTAGCTCCATGGACTTGGTGGCTGCAGAGGTTGCTGCGAAGCTCCCCTTACCCAAGGGTTAGGTGGGCAAGCACGTGCTTGCCCTCTCACCCTCTGGAAACTGAAGAAGTCCTTGATACCTTTCAATGAAGAAAAAATGTTTTAAAAACTCCCGCCTTTGCTTTTGGTGGCATTTTTTTCCAGTTTGGATGGATCTGTGCAGTGGTGTGCAGTGGCATGCAGTGCTCAGAGCCATGATGGGGAGTACTCGCATTTATATTTGTCTGGTCCCATCTACATCAGCAAGCTCTTGAAATGTAGCCTACCTGGCATATCTGGTCAGGCTGGGAAACAGCTTTAGACGTTTTTTTGTTTGCTTACGAGTGATCTTGGCCACAGAGAGGGACACACAGCTGGTGGCCTCTTCACGGCTCCATGATCAGACTGAGGCTGGGCTCGGAGCTGACAAAGTCTGGAGTGGGGCTAAGCAATTCCAGCTTATACTTGGCTTCATTTGGAGGTGGATTGGAGTGGCTGCTACTCTGCTCCCTTCTTCCATGGGTTGGTGTGTCAGGGCCCTGCCACGGCCCGAGGGGGAAGGGAATAGGGATGCAACACTGCACAGAGGGTTCTGACACAATAGAAGGTCAGGGTGCAATGGCCCGTTTATTGAGGGAAACAAGGACTTATATAGGGTTTGGATGAGGGGAGGTCTGATAACCAGGGTGGAGCATGGGATTGATAACTCAGGGGAATATGGGATTGGGGAATGAGAGAAAGGTAGGAAGAACTCGGGAGTATCTAGGGGAAGGGGACCAATAGGAGCTCACTCTGCACTGCGGCACTCATTGGCCAGTCAGTGGGGGATGAGCGGGAAAACAGGGGAGGACAAGGTGGTAAACAACTTTTGGCAGGAAAACGTGAGGGCAAGTCCAGACAAGCCCTGAACCATACAAACCAAGGGTATTAACACAGAAATATATGTGGGGGTACATTAAACATGGTATAAAACTGGGGAATAACATGAAAGTCCATGAATTGTTAGCTTCTTCGGGCTCTGTATAAGTCTCTCCAGGCTTTGAATCTCCAGTCACTCTGATGTTCCTCCACAGGGCCCAGTTTGGCTTTGCCTTCATGGACAGCAGCAACCATCACCTGTCTGCCACGGCAATAGATGCCTCTGCTTGCTCCAGATGTCCTTCTCCTGCAGACCAGAGAACACCTCTTGCTGTGAGTTATAACTTGTAATATAAATACAAATATAGGTATTGTTCTTCCTCCATTAGTTGTAATAGCAGTAGGCAGGGTGGTAGAGGTGTGTGTATGAAGGCCTAGTCTCTCAGAGAGGGTTTTAAAAGTGGCTTTTGTGAGATGTTCATGTGCCAGTGTGGTTTGTGCTGGTTGCAGGGACCCATGTGAGTGGCTACTGGCACAGCTCAAGGAGATATGACACAATGGGCATTTCTAATGATACTGATATGCTGTGTGCCACCCTTGAACTTCAGAAGACCTATGTTGGGGATCAGGGAGAAGGAGCAGTGCCAGCCCATTGATACTGCAAACCAGTGTTGTGGCAGTGCTTCCCTGCAGCAGCATCATGATAAAGGATGATGGAGGAGGAGGCTGGCAAAAGCTATGACCTTCCAGCAGGATCTGTTTCCCAAAAATGGGTTAAACAATAGCAGACTGCTGCAGGTGTAGGCGTGGAGGAACCTGTTAAATTAAAGCCAAAGTGTAAGAGGAGAGATGTTTGCTTTGGAAGATAACGTGTACCTGTTCTGTGTGCTGAGGGTGAGGAAACTCTCCGAGACGTGTACTTCATTACCACAGTAGACCTTTTGCACTGCAAGGCCGCATAGCTCCCAGTTCTCCCCTCCCTTCTCCCCTTCCCTTGTAAGACCAGAGGCCTCCCTCAGCTTTACCAGTGCCTCCAATCTGACAACCCAGAAGCCTGCTAATGGGTGGTAATTGCTCCTTTTTCTCCATCAGTACATCTCACTGGGGAGCTTCCCTGACCACACTGCCCAAGTTTGCTGCCTGAACTGATGCTGTTTTTAATATGCCCAGGTCTCCAGTACCTGCAGCCTGGTCAGTGGCTGGAGATGAGGGAAAGGAGTTCAGCAAAGCGCCCTTTGATGAGGCTGCTCTATGGAGCCAGCTTTATTATCTGCCTTGCTGCTGGTCTCAGAGAGACTGCAGGGAAATCTGCTGATTTATTTTCTTAAATGGCATCAAATTATGGCAGTTAAGAGCCTACCAGGAGAAAATGGGCTCTTAGGGCAGCATTTCTTGTCTTATGTACAAGGCTTTATTGAATTAACTTTGTACTAGAACCACTTTACACTTCCTTTGCTGGAGAGGCCAATCTAACTTAACTGTGGGATAAAATTTTACAACCATATTTTTGTTATACAGGTGATGTGCATAAAGAATTCTTTACATGCATTAATATCATCAGAGTTTTGGCAAGGCCATAAAGCAGGCTGTCTCTCAATCATCTTATCTCTGTCTTAATGCTGCACTCATCCCTGTGTTAAGTACGTAACTCTCTTGCTTTGCTTCTTATTTTCCACATTAGGGACAGTGGATTTTCTCTCCCACAAGCACTTTACAAATGTTCAGGTTCTGTGAGAGAAATCTCTGTTGCTGTCCAAGCCATGCCTTTTGCCTCTGTGGGTACCTGCAGCTTGGCAGCTCCAGCTGGGCAGCAGCACTGCCAACCTGCACGACAGAATCTTGCATACTTTCAGCTACTTCTCCATTATTTGCACATAAAGTTAATAACTGACTCAAGAGTTCATCTACAAATACATATTTAGGGCTGCTCTTGGTAAATTTTTCCCCTCTCAGCCACAAAGCTTTTGTTTTCTGCTATTTCCTTCCTCTATTTTCCCTTGACCCTAATCCACTGTAACATTAACATGTTAGTTTTGAAACAGCCAATGTATTCTCAGTCTCTTCTTCTCCCTTACCTGCTGATTATTTCTCTTTTTTTTTCTCTCTGTCCTTTATACTTTTGCTGTTTGCAAAAACCAGCTTTTCTCCTCCCCCTCCCTCTTCACAGCTCCCACCATCTGTCTCTCTACAAATACAAAGCTTTAGGGGAAATGATTCACTAGGCTGGTAGCTCATTACTCACACTCTCCCCATCATGGTTTCTGTCCTTGTAGAATGCTCTAACTAATGTAAAGATCAATGAATCCCAGGAATTGTTATTTGATTTAAAAAAAAAAAAGCCCCAGCAGTTAAATAGATTGGGCTCTTTGTACTTCCTAAACACCAAAGCATAGTTTTTCTTCCTCACTCTGCTTACATTGTTTTTCAGAAAAGGATCGTTGAAACAGAAGAATAGAAATAATCACTGGACCATTTAATGTAACCTTGTGTATCACGTGGTGCAGGAGTTACTTAATGAAATTCCCTGGCCCAAACCAAGCAAATCTGTGGTAAATCTAGAGCACATATTTTCGGATGACAGCCAAAATGATGAAAGGAATTTACTACCCAGCCTCGCTAATCATTTTGAATGCTTAACTGGGCTCCCTAATATGCTGCTTTGCAAGCAGCAAAACTCCCTACACATTTCTCCAGCCTTGCCCAGGCTGTGCACCTGAAAAAACCTCCCAGCACCCTGCCAGCCCTGTCCAAGGGCAGGGTGGCCAACTGTGCCTGCTGTGAGTGCTGGATGGCCAGCTGCCCTCCTCTGGGAAGAGACCTCTGCAGGCCAGAACCTCTGCTGCCTCTCCCTTCAAAGCATGCGGGTTTGGGGCTTGCTCTTTGCTCAGGTAATTATTACCATGAAACCCTGTAGGCACTTAGTATCTTTGAGCTCTCCCTGTTAAATGTGGCAGAAATTTGGCTAATGGGCGCAGAAGCCATTTCAGACAGACTAGTTCACAGTGTTAAAATGTTTCAGATACCTTAAAATACCAGAGTCAGCCATATTGAGTTGGCAGATGTGCCACAGCCTTTCAGGAGATTTGCTCAACATAGAGGCTGAGCTCCATGCTCAGGGTACTCCAGGTAACTCAAAATGGTGATGGTCAGGTATGCACATTCCACTCCTTTTGTCTTCATTTTGTTGACCATTTGAGATGGATTTCTGTCATGACTTTAGGCTTCTCACCGTATACTAAAAAGTTATTTTCTTAATTGGAAGCTTAGTTTTTCAATTTATCACATGAAAAACAGACCTTCCTTCCCTGCATGCAAGTAGATGCCAAGAAGTACCACCACCTAACACAGTTTTATAGTGCTTTGTCAGGAAGCTGCTGGCATGGCAGGTATATTAGCCTATTTCAGTTGTTGAGCTTCCCTTTTGAAATTGGAGTTGTAAGAAGCACAGACAATACTACAATCAAAATTATAGGAGTTGGCAACACTGAATGCACCCTTCTACCAGTTCCCTTAAATGGCTTCCTTTATGCTAAAGGAAGGTCTGAGTTTAAATTTCTCCTTCATAAGCACCACAAGGCACGTCCTGCATCAGCACACCATGCTGGCATCACCTTTGTGGAAAGCTAATTAAATAATTTGGATACTGTAAGAGGAATATAAACTTCTGGGCTAATTTACTTTTCAGACTACCAAATGCATGTACTTTTTTATAAAGCTGTGTTTGGGTCATTTTGTGACAAATAATAAAGCTGAGGAGGATCTTGGTGAGAGCGTGCATTGAGCAGGCATGAAGCACTCTGGTGTCAGAGCAAGACATTATTGTGTGACTGCTCTAAAGAATAAGGGCTGCAGAATTTCAAGTCAATTGTCCACTGTTACCTCAGTAAGGTTAAGGCTGTTTAAAAAACAAAGACTCCTCACCAAAGTCATGGTTATGTGCTCTGTAAAAAAATATTCAAATTTTAGCAGACTTGATGTTGTTGAGCCTTCCCGGTTGCCAACACCCCATGGCTCTCCATCTTTGATTATTTTATTGTTCTACACTGCATACAAGTTGTAGGAGTCAATGTTCTTTCTCTTAACAATTGATGGCTTTCCAAGTGCCAACTGTCCTTTGACAAGGTCTGTTTTAAATAAGGGCTGAAGAGCACTAATGAACCTAAAGGGCTGCTACAAAAAATACTGCAGTGTTCCATGGCACTGACAGCACACACGTAGTCACGCATTTAGGTCTCCTGTTCTGGACTATTGCTGCAACATGCTGCAGGTGTGAGGGACCCAGCTGTAAGGAAAGGGAACTCCAGAGATTTCAGATCTGAAAGTCCTTTAATTGAAGACAAGTGTCTTTATGCAAGACAGGCTAAGGAAAACTTGCGTTATCCAACCCATTTCTCCCTTGTTCCCAGCAATAATAAAAGCAGACACAATATATAAGGTGCCTTAAAAAGGCAAATATTTAATAGTGTATATACAAATTAATGGTTTGATAATGCTATACAAGGCAGGAATATCTTTAAAGAAACCCTGAGCAAAAAGGAGAATGTAATTTTTATTTTACTCTTATTGCAGCATTATTTCTGGTATTTGTTTGCTATTATGACTAATAAAGGAATATGTTAAAAACAGATGTTAAAATAAAACTGGGCATTCTTTCCATTTGCAGCTTATTTAAAAATCTAAAGAAAAGAGTTCTGCCCCATCAGCTTTGGAAATAGTTGTTTAACATGGGAGAGAACAAGCTGAGCCTGCGTAACCCAAGACAACCAATTCCTTTAGCAGAAAGTGTCTTCTGTCATCAAAAAGAGCCATCTGGAAGAGCGTTGGCTCCGTGCCAGGAACAACCCTTTAGCAACCGCTCAACATACACTTTAAGTTATAATGTTCATAACGGCACAACCTGGAGTGTTGGTAAAGGGCCTATTGGAGGAGCAACATATTCCTCCTCCCGCAGTAACCGCAAAAGGATGTTCTTCTTATTCTTTGGCCAGTTATAAATGTGGGTGTTCTGCAGCCAGGTAGGCACATGTTCCTGAAAAAACAAGGAAAATAAACACTAAATCCCGTAAATCCTCCTGAATCTGTACCAGAACCTTGCAGATTCTGTCAGGCCCTGCCAAGCAAGATTTCATTTTGTCTGTTCTAGGCACTTCCTGTAACAACAAGAAATTTTAATTTGGCTTCAGAATTGTATTTGGGTTCCTAAATAAATGAACTTTGTGTGATCTCACAGCTTGCCTGTCTCTCTTTCTCTTCTGCCATCATGTTGCCTAATTTCACATTTCAAAGGAAGTCTCATCTCAGTGACAGGCATCGAAAGGCTTGTGAAAATAAACATTGAGAAGAGAAGGGAGACATTTCAGTGTCCTGTGCAGGGAAAGGCTGCCACCTTAGTAGCTGCTAAAGGATCCACACAACATGTTCAACCTTGGAATGAGAATCAATAGGGAAAGAGTGGGACCCCATGGGAGCATTTCACATCTAGGTAGCCCTCTCACCCTCCCCTTGCACCTTCCTTCACCAAGTATGGTGTTCTCTGACCACCTCCTGAGCAGGAGGTTGAGGCCAATGCTGAGCTCAAGGAGAGACTAATGCATCTCCAGATTAGCAGGGTCAAACCTCCACCACTCCTTACACCCTGGGAAAGGTGCAGTCTTTCATAGGGGTTGGCTAATGCCCATTAACATAATGAAGCCAGGACCACAATGGCCCTAGGAGTGACAGCAGGCTGATGGAGAGAGACCCGCTCAGACTTCATGTTTGCATGTTTCCACAGCCTTGTGAGGTTTCCATATGGACATCCATATGGATGTTTAGAGGTGAAGGGCTATTATGATACCATTAATTAACAGATGGACTGATCCTTGAGCAAAACCAGCTCATGGTCACCATGAGATGTAGATTTCTTTTGGAGAGCTGAAGTTAAAGACACTAGAACACAACCAAAGTGAGAAAGGAGGTAAGCAACACGAGCAGCCAGGACATCCAGCACTTGCTCCCTGGACCTCTCATTTAGCAGGCAGTGTTTTCCCAAGGTGGCTCCTGTTAGGAGCAGCACAGCTCCTGTCAAGGTAGTGGAGCTGGCTCCAAGAGGACAGAGCAAAAAGATGTTGGTGTGAACCACATCTCTGGCACCTCGCCAGGGGATGCCTTGGCATGGGCAGCACATGTCCTGCCTGCCAGCAAACAATCTAGCTGCAGTCCAAATCTTTCTTTTCCAAGTATCATGCTTCTCAAATTGGATGTCTTTTCCTTGGCCTGGACAGCTGTAGGAATGAAGCTGCATTGCTTTCCCTGCTCAGGGAGCGATGTGTTAATGGTTGCAACCACTTTGTTAGATCTATAGCATTTATGTATAGGAAGAAAGAGGTAAGTCACACAGGCACCTACACACCCATTAGTCTGAACTCACCTAGGCCTCTGAACAAGCAGCTTCGTGTGTGGCAGAGGTATCTATCAAGCCTGACCTTCCTCTTCCTCCAGTGTTCAAGAAAGTATAGGCTTTGGTCAGTGCTCTCCCTAAAGTGCAGGTTTTAAACCAGGTGGACACCTCACTGTGAGGCAAGATCCCACAGCATTCCCTTCGTTAGGAGAACAAATAAGATTTCTTGCCTCCACCTGCTAGGGTTTTTTTTGCATAGGAATGGATTTTTGTCAAAAGAGTACAATTCACAAAGACTAAGCTGCTTGGAATTGGCCAAGTGATTCAGATGTTACTGGGAGAAAAAAAGATGACTGTGTTTGCATGCATGCGCATACCATTGTTACATGAAATTTGTTTCTTTACTAAATCTTGTTAAGAGCTATAGAAGGAAATGCAATGAAATACAGCAAGCATTTACTGAAGAGCTCTCTCTCTGTCTTTGATAAGAAACTACAATTTTTTGAGGAAGGAAACGCATTAGATATAATTGGTCTGGACTTCAGAAAAGGATTTGATATAGGTCCATATGGAAAATCATTAGTTAAGATGGAAATTAGTGTGGGAAATATGTTATAGGTAAGAAACCAGTAAGTGGGGATATAATGAGAGAGGCACTATATATCCAGAGACAGACTCCGCACCTTTCTTCCAGAACTGCTCCTGCAGTTTCGTTTAATATCCTCCATAATGAAGCCAGTGCAAAAAGCACCTGCACATTAATCAGTAATTTTAACTTGATGAAGGTGTGTAAAGCGGTAACTATAGCTGCTATTTTTACCCAGGGGAGCAGGGAGAGAGAAAAATGGGCTTTTCCTTGCCATATGACACCTGTCATTACAGGTGGGAGTAGTGGGAAAATGGTTTACTGTCCTTTAAATTCTTTTAACTTGGCTGTGTATCTGTAAGCTGAGAGGAAATTCTCTCTATGCCATAGAAGGAGTATTTGTAACTCTGAGGATTAAACCGGTAGGAAGAGGGCAGAGTGTATTAGTGCAGAGGGCAGGACTGTTTTAGGGCTATGACAGCAGAGTGTAGTTTGAGATGTCCTGGCTTCCCTGGCATCAACCCTGTTCATCTCACCCCTCCAGCTGCTTCCACTCTGCCAGAGGGAGCCTTCAGCATGGGGCAATCATGGCTTAATGGTCATGAGGTGGCCAGATGAAGACATATTTCTGTGGATTGCCGCGATGCAAACCTTGAACCAGCAAGACCCATGTCTCCTTTAGCAGTGTACAATGGGAAACTGGAAATCCCAGTTCCACCTTAATTGTGTGTTGTGCTTTTGCCCCCTCATTATTCAGTTTCCTAATGAACTCTCCTTGGATCACATAGATCTCTTCCTATTGGAGGTCGACTAATTTTCACATACCAGCAGTGCTTTATGGTGTGCTTTGTATGAGATTAACTCATCTAATAGCCACATCCCCAGATGAAACCTCCAAACCTCCATTTTCTGCTCTCTTCCACTGCTACTTGAGCAAATAAAACACAGTATAAAAGACAAAATTGAAATAATTTGCCCACCAACACCATCCAATTGTACATATACTTGGCATTTTTTCAGGTACCTCACTTTCTCTGACTGCCTATGGATTTCATTACTGCAGCTTGTTCAGGCTCTGGTGCTCTCCTTCCACCCGTGACGTCCTCAGTTACATTATCATTAACTAGCTGGATGAAGGTAGGTGATGTAGCAAAGAAATACGTGGAGAAAGCTTAATGGCAGTAAAAAATTCTGATCTGCATAATGTAATGAGAAAGGCACCTCTCAAAAAACCGAAGGGTGATGTGGACAACAGAGGATAGGCAGGAAGGATGCCTGGAGCCTGTTGCTTCGATAGAGGCAGCTGGATAAACCAACCCTGGAAATTCCTTATAGATCTCTGTCTGACAGAAACACTGCTATATGCTAAATAGTCTTCCAATAAATAATGTTCAGCCAAAATTAACATAACTTATTGTTCTGTCTCAAAGCCCAAAGGCAGCTACAGTGCCTCCTGAGACACTTCTCTCTGCAACCAGGGTATAGGGTCTGTTCATGTGGTGGGCACTCAAGTAGCCCCAAGGTTAGGAGCCATCCTGCCCTTTCCACCCGATCAAGCTGCAAAGACTGAGTGAAAATGTGACTGGTTCCCTGCCTTTGGTCTGCACAATTTCCACCAGTGGTGTCTCCCAACTTTTCACACTTAAGATAAGTACCAGACTGAGACCATTCGGGAAGGGATTACATGAAATACCAGAGGTACCGTTCATTCCAAAGGACCTCACATATTTTACAAACCCAGGGATGTATTTTCAAATTTCCGAGCTTAAATTGGTGCCTAAATAATTTTATTACACTAAAATCCAGAAGTGCAGTGGGACTTCACAGACCTATAATCATTGATAACATTGTTTAAATTTTGACCGACGTTCCAAAATCTTGTCACACAAGGAAATATAAAGAAATTTCCACACTTTTCCAAAGTGCAGCCGTACCTACCTGGGGGTAACATGACAGCTACCCAATAGTGCACACAGCATTTAGTTATGAAAAGTGAACATGAATCCAATGCATGAGATTGGGCAAGAACGCTATTTCTCAACTATATATGAAGTCATTTAATTTTTCTGGCCTTGTAAAAATTGAAGAGATTCTCTCAGAGTGAGGTAGAATCTGTTGCATTACTTATTTCTTATTCTCAAATGGGTCTTGAAAAGAAGTAAGGAGGGCAGATGAAATTGCAAGTCCTAAAAAATCTTATAGTTTGCCTTTGATGGGCCCATCAAAGTTCAAGAACAGCCTAGTACTTTAATATTTATTATACTCTTTATTTTTATATTCTCAACACACCCTTTTCCAGATCCTCACTTCACATCAGTCATAAATCTTGCCCATCTCACTCATCGGCATTACATCTGGACAAAATTATAAAAGGGTTAATATAAAAAGCAGGCTTCCTGGATAGATTGTCTCTCCCCATTTAAATTCTTTCAATGCTAAAGGCAATTGGAGTTTTATTGTACGTTCATCATCAGAAATACATTTATGCACTGATTTATATTGTGGATGAAAGAGTTTTTATTTGTATGTACATAAAACTATAAACTTTTAATGTAAAATGGAGCTTTGGAATATTACTAGTGGGGTATTAAGAACCAAGAAATTGAGTGTTTTAGTTTTAAGATTTCACCTGGTGCATTGTGATCAAAATAATAAGTAGTTAATCATGCAACAACTTTATAAGCATGCATGTATTTTACCTTTTTGGCGTTTGGAAAAAGCACAGGGATGAATCTGAAGTTCATACTTCCTTGCTGTATAAACTCGATCTGCATCTAGAATAGAACAAAATGCCAGTTCTATTGTAACGCCATGATAACTTTTCTTTGCATGCATCTGAACCCTATGTGTAAAAATATTTGTTGCTTACTTAAACTGCTCTTCTGTTAAGTGATTTGATCTATCACTGGTGGACTTGGTTTGGTTTGGCCAGTTAATCTGATTCTTCATTACTACAGAAATGATATAGGAAAGATGTCAGCCTTTTTTGAGCATTTAGTTCTGTGGTATGAAATAAATATGGGTTTAGCTGCAGTTGCAATCCCATGAAATCCATCTCTAACTGATGAAGCTTGACTTGACTAAGGCCCCTGTTCAGTCTCCAACAGGGTGAAAGACTTCAGCCAGAGGCCAGGTCTGTGTCCAAGCTAGGACCCAGCCTGTTCCCCATGGCCCTGGACACAGGCATCCCAGGGGTGATAAGGACAGCAAAATACTGCTGAGAGCTCATCTGCTGGTGACAGCTTCTGAGAAGTTTGACTGCAGGACGAAACTATGGAATCAGATGGGTTATAGGGTGAAAAAGGCAGCACACTGCAAAGCAAGGGAGAAAGGATCAGTTTCATGGCTCTGTGGCATCTTCTGGGCTAAATGTCCATCCTGTGACAGGCTGTGGAGAGGGTGTCTGGTCCTCTGTCACCTCCCAGGAACCCCCCCTTGCACCTCTGGCCTTTGCTTTGCAATTCCACCTTTCAGTCAGCCTTGCTGCCTGAAAAAAGACCTCAGTTCCGGGATGGCTGAACAACAGAGGCTGTTTATAGGGAGAAGGTCAGGCACTGTTAGATAAGATTGTGCTCAGGGCTATACAAGGGTTCAAGAAGGTGAAGGAGGGAAAAAAACCTGGAACAATAAAGAATATGGAGAAATAAGATGAGCACCTTTAATAGGATTTTTCTCCCTTGAACCTCTTAGCAGATGTTAATGAGCATACGGAGCTGATCTGATGAGAGGAAGGATTAATGAATTCCAAAGAGGGGTGTTTAACTACAGGGATTAGGGAAAACAAAGCAAAGAACCTGCCATTTGGAGACAGATTTGTCTTTTGAGAAGAGACAGAGTCTTTGTAAAACAGCAAATGCATGTCCTTGCTTACCATCCTGTGGATGTATTTAGTATGTAAGCCGTGTTCATCCCTGTCCAGCTGGGATTCAGCCCCTTCCACATCCTGTTTGTATTTTGGACTGATTGCTATGATTATCATCACCGTCTTCTGTTAGGGAGAAAAGCACTTTTATGAAATTGGGAAACGCAGCGTGTTTGGTAGAAGCAGATCGGAAATCTGCCAGTTTGTGTTTTAAGTGATCTTTGTGTTCTTGGCAAACATGAGAGGATCTCATTCATTCTGGCAGGAAATACAGGAGAATTCATACACTCGTTCGCCTCATTATTTCTCGAGATCTCATAATATAGAAAATCTAAATGTCAAGAGATATATTAGCAGCTACCAGTTTACACTTGGAATCTCTGTAATATGAATCTACTTTTTTCAGTGTAGAGTGTCTATGTGCATACACAGAAAAGTTTTATCTTAAAATTCAGACCTAAATGTTTTCCAACAGCTTATGTAAAAGTGCATCTACTTAGCTATCTATGCTTTGTATACAAAAAGCCACTAAAGGCAGTGGTCTATGGAAGCTACCCTGAGGGCTCTCAGCAGCAGAAATGACATCTTCTCTTGCTGATCTTAGTGGTGAAGTGTGCAGAGGTGGGCTGTTGTGGATGGCCTGGGCAGGTTTAGGGGTACCTAGCAGCTCTGTCCCACCTCGCCCAGTTGGCTGAAAGCAGTGCTCCTCCACCTTGCTAGGACAGCCTGGATCCAGCCCGTGACCTCTTTAATCCCAGCCCCCCACTGGAGCTCAGGTTTCCATGGAGGGGTCATCCTTCATATCTGGGAAACATCTCTCCTCCTTAATGGCAGGCCAGTGGAGAGGCTTGGCAGATGAAAGCTTCCTACTTGAGTTTACCTAGGGCCTGTCTTTCATCCCTGACACAGCCACATTAGGCTGTGTAAGGCTTCGAAATCTGTGGCTCATAGTCAGCCCGGCACCTAATTAACTCCTTCCTTCTGTGCTACATCAAGAGAATTTGCCCCATCACAGGGTCAAATACGGTAAGGAGCCATTATCCTTTACACTGATTTAACATACTCCAGAATTACTTTTGCTCATGCCTGACATGCATATAAGCATTTACAGATGTGGAGGGTTAGAAAGACACATGCCCAGTTGCATACATTCCCTGCTTGTGTCCAAGCAGTCCTTTCCTCCTCACACGTGTAAGGGTTTTGAAGTTAGAAAGTGCCTCTACAGTAAATGGAGCAAACCAAACATTTCTAGGGTGGCCAGTCAGAGAAAGATCCTCATGTAGAGGCATGGAATTGTTCTCTGCACATACTTGTCTCTCCCATTGACCGTGCCAGAGTCCTAAAGGAGATCTGCCAGTTTGTATTTTAAGTGGTAATGATGTTTTTGGCAAAAGCAAATTCATGCTGTCTTCTAGTTTTAGTACCTCCATTACGCATGGTGAGACCAAGCGTAATTTGTCCTGATGAAACTCCAGAAGGCATGACTGCATTTCCATGGCAGAGGCCCCAGGCTGGCTCTGCATGCAGTTGTACCATGTCTTGAGTACATGAGCTAAGGTGTCCTGATGGATATCTTCAGGAAACCTGTGTAGTGCTGTCAGATGGTTAAGCTTTCTTGCTCAGGCCAGGGAGAGCCCACCACTTTTCCATGCTGTTCCCGAACCACAGAGATCTGCTCAGAGTGAGTCAGAGGCTTGGTGGCTACTCAGCAAGGTGTGAATCCAAGGAATTCACTCCATGATGACATGTCTCAAGCGACAGAATCACCAATTTGCGTCCAGCTGTGCCGGTATAATGTGACCAACTTGGCTTAATCCTAAAGATGTGCACTCACCGCTCAATTGAACTTCAGAGGAAGTTGTTGCTGCAGGGAACTGCACTGGCAGCAAGATAAATCTATGTTTTACTGCTTAGATAGATACCAAGTCATGAGAACAAATCTATCAACCAACAGAATACCAATTTCCAGTATACATATAGGATTGTTTATCCAGAAGAACCCTTCAGTGTTTTAGATAGCAATTTAAAAGCTACAGGTCAGAAGGATGAACATTAGCCACAACTATGCAATCTGGGATGAAATACAGATACCACTTTAACCAAACATAGCTAAACCCCACAATTTAAAAAGGAGATGGAGGAACAACTTGTCCAATGGCAGCTTCAGGCTGAATGTAACAGCCAGCATTGGAATTTGGCAAGAGTTCCAGGATTAGCACTTCATTTCTTAAAGAGAGAGCTTTGGGACCATAAGACACAGAAGTGAGTGAGATTT